AAACAAGGGTTAATTATAGAAGATTATGATAATCTTGGTCTGCATTTTTTCTTTAAAAATAAAATTAAAAACATTTTTCCTCTCTTTAATATTATTATTTACGAGGTACAACTAGAATGAAGAAGTAATAATATCAACTACTATGGACATCGAATCTTCATTAGACAATTGTCATTGCTTAGAAACAAAATGAATATAATCAAGAATGATTGGACTTGGACAGATGAACATGACATATTAGGTAGCGGTTTAGTTAACTGTGGTCAGTCTTGGCTCTTGCCATTATTTGAATTTCCAATTAAAATTATTATTTTCTAATTCTTTCTCTTACTGTTACACAATCAAATGGTAAGACCATCTCCAATCACTGAATCACTAGGTTAAGTTTTTGTTCAATTTTGCATCCAATCCTCCAACAAACTGAAAATCTTTCCAACCCATTACATCAAATATTACACCAAATTAACAATGTTTAATTATTTTTTTCATTCTTAGCGATTCACTTATCTGAAAAATATTTATTTATTTAATTTACTACTACATAAATTAATGAAATTATTGAATACATTAATAAATTTAAATAATTTGGTACAATAATAATACTAATAATAATAATAATAATAATAATAATAATAATAATAATAATAATAATTTGTTGTATACTAAAAAATGTCACAAATACCCTTAACAAAAAAATTGGTTTAACATGAAAAAGAGGGGCGAAAATGACACTATTCATTTTGGTACAAAATGGTGCAAGTGAAAAGTGTCGCACCATTTGGGTTCAAAATATGGTGTTGAATTGGAGAGGGATTTCACCAATTTTTTTATGCAAAATGGGGGAAAATGGTGCAAGGTTGAAGATTCCCTAGCAATGCCCACATACATACAATGCAATCCATGTGCCGCCCACAAACATATTATAAATCCTTGCCATATTTTCCTGTACATATCCGAATAAAAGGAGTGTTGACCGTAACTTTGTTGACCTCAAAAAATAACCTAAACACGTGGTCAACGGAATTCTTCCACGTGAGCTTCTTCTTGCACGAAGCAACACACTGTTAGTTGCTCATAGTCTTTTCCGGTGGGGGTGGAAGCGGCCATGAATACTCGACGATCAAGTGAGTTGGTAGACGGAATCTAGGACGTCCGACAATAATGTTCGTTGGAATATAATGTTCGTGGTGGTGTATGTGGGGATGGTGATAATATAAAAACTTGTGTTTCTCTTCTCTTTTTAAGGACCAACCACTTCCTATAGTACAAGTGTGTGTATTTATAGTGAAAATGGAATAAGAGAAGAGCCGTTGGATGTGGAACACGTGGTCTTGAATCTAGGGTAAACAATCATCTCCTAAGTGTCAATCCGTCAATCCATAGATAGACAATTCATTTAATACTTCATGACATTGTAAAACATTGACTTGGCATTTTGGAGTCTGCCATACATCTCATCAATTAGTCATAAGGAATAGATTCTTGAGATCTTTCCATGGAAGATCTTTTAGTACACAGGGTTGAAGTTGAGCAGTTGTGGGAGAAGTGTTAATCGCGTTTTTGATTTATCACTTTGGACTTAGTTTCAGTTGCGACGAAGTGATGCGGAGTGCGAGCCTTTTGCATCCGTCAGAGGTGACGGATGAAATCAATTGGTCCGATTCGTGGTGGGGACAAAATCAGTTCGTCCAGGTAGAGGATGAATCCAGCTCATCCTCCACGTGGCGTATGTATTCGGTTTGACTCTTGACGTGAGAGATGACTTGGAAAAACCCTTCACACACTTCATTGTATATCATGACATGATTCTCTAAAATGTATGTGAAATAGACGGAGGATCCATTTGGCAAAAGTTCTACTTTTGTTTCGCCTTTTTGTATAAAAGTTTTTAGAGGATTCTAACCATACAAAACATTTTTCAGAAAATTATCAAAACAAATTCAAAAGTAACTTCTTAATTTTAGAAGAAATTTTTGATTTTTCAAAAGTCTTGCTAAACGGGTCTTTGATATACCAGAATTTAAAGTCTCTACTTCAGCCTCATCTTTTAAAAAAAATGGAATATTTATTATTAGAAAATAGAGAAAATTTTTGAATTTACATATAAAATTATTTATTTAGAAAATTTTATGATTTAAGATGAAATTGAGAAAAAAATGAATTTAAAAAAAAAAAAAATTAGAGTTGAGCTATTGAATTATCTTATTTAAATATAGAATCTACTAGAGAGAGACACATTTATTTACTTATACATGTTTGAACCACCTTATTATAGAATCAAAATGAAAAATATAGTCGTTATTGGAATCCACACAAGAGATAGAAAATTTGAATTTAAATGTTGATATGATGGATAACGGTCATAGTTTTTATTTTAATGAGATAAAAAGGTTGCCCAAACGGGGGCTTAACACTTTGTCAACAAATCCCTTTACGTACAATTTTTATAAATAGGTAATAACAAGACTTGAGTTTAGCAAATATGATGTCATATATAAACCATGCCATGACATATAAATCAACAAAGAATAAATATTTATTTTTAAAAATTTAGTATTCAATAAAGATTTGAGTACGATGAGAAAAAGTTGGTCAGAACTAGCAAGGAAGATGAAAACTAATGGGTTAAATTCATCAATGACTACCAAACTTTATATTTAGTGTCATGATGACGACTTAATTTGATTTTTTTTTTTCCACCATGACGACTAAACTTATAATTAGTATCACCATGACCATTCAATTTGATTTTATTTCACCATAACCACTACGTTTCCTTATGGTCGCTCAGCTTATTTTCATCATTTTCACCAATTTTAGAAGAAGTAAAACAGTAACTATGCATTATATATATTAAATAAATTTTTGAAAAATAAAAATAAAACTTATTTTTTAAAAATGTTACTTAAAAAATAAAATAAATAAAAATTTATTTAAAAAAACATTCCTTAATAAAATAAAATAAAAAATATTTACGTTCCTTAAAAAATAAATTAAAATAAAATAAAAACTTATTTTAAAAAAAGTTTTTAAAACTAAAAAAATTTTATTTTTTATAAATTTATTTTTTATATATAATGTAATGTTACAATTTCACACCTTTTAAAATTAATGAAAATAGCGAAAAGAAGTTGTGTGGTAATTGTGAAACGTTATATAAAATTGGGTGGTCGTGATGAAACGTTATATGAAATTAGGTAGTCATGGTAAAATAAAATAAAATTGGATAGCCATAATGCTATTAATTATAAAATTATGTGGTCATGGTAAAACAAAATCAAATTGAGTGACCAATGACACTAAGTATAAAGTTGAATGATCATCGGTGAATTTAACCCGAAAACTAATCATTATTAGATGTTTTAGCCCCTATTTGGCACACATTCTTTCAAAATATATTCTTTCAAAACTCATTTTCAATCACACATTTTTCAATAAAATATTATTTTTCATCACATTAACAATTTTTCCTAACTTTTTAACCATATATTTCCCATCATATCATTATTTAAAACATGGGTGAACACAGAGGGCTGCCTGGAGGGTCAAGTGACCTCCCAACTTTGCTCCCTTTTTTTACCAAAATTTTCTATATTTTTGTTTCGATTTTTGAAGTCATTATGGGATGTGAAATACAATCGAAATATTGTATTCTTAATATTACTTCGAAGTGCTCACGATCTAATTTTTTACGTCGTTAATGAAGTACGAAACAATCAATCGTAGCAAATGTTATGACTTGTCAAAGTAGACCGTTCAAAATTAGTATTTCAAAAATTTCGAAACATGCTAACTTTAAAAATTCTTCGACAATCGTACGCTAATCGAATTTACAAATTACTTACGTCATCTCAAAGTTTATTTCGAAAACTACATTATAGGCATATTGAATAGTCCAAACAGATATCGAAAATAGTTAAAAATATGTTAAACGTGAGTTTTAAGGAAGAAATTTTTATGGAATATGATATCAAAAATTTTCGAAATTTTACATTCGAAAAAGTCATATTCCATATAAATTTTCGAATGCAAAATTATATGAGGTATGATTTTTTTGGACGTAAATTTTCGATTGTAAAATTTCTCTAAACTTTTTTACAAATTTGATTGTGCCCATTAACTTTAAACTTCTGCATTCGGCCCTTATTTAAAATACATTATTTTTTCAATAATATTCATCTAACACACCCTTTGAGGGTGTTTGGTGGGGATTAAAATTAGATTTTTAATGGATTGTGATATAAGTTTTTGAAATGTGTGGTTGAAAAAATGTGGGACCTATAAAAGATATGATTAATATTGATTACTCGGCTTTTACTAAGATTAAAATTAGATTTTAATTCGACTCAAACGGACTCTTAATTTGGTAGACGTATATCCCTTTGACTAAATTTGGTACAAGCAGTTCACTCTAAGGAAAGCACAAGTGTAGACTCTTGGAAGCATACATATTGTTGGGTAATTATGATGAAATTGACATTTCTTCTTACATGACAGATGCTTTTAAACTCGTACTTTATACTAGATTTTGTTGCTTATATTAGATTTTGTTGCTTATATAGGTGACATTTTTGCTACATTTACGGATAACATTTAGCAAATGTTTGGCCTTATTTTGGGGTCTTGAAAATTTTTGAAATAGTGATTGATGAGAGAATATATGGTAAAAAAATAATGAAATATTTTAAATTTATGTGTAATATTATTTTATTTGAAAAATATGTGATTAAAATGAAGAGAGAAAAATTTAATATAATGTAATAAAAAAAATGAGGGCCAAACGGGGCTCAATGATGTGACATTTAATTTTATTGTTGACTTTTTCAACATTTATTTAAATTAATGAATTAATGATCTCAATTTTTTTACATAATTAAGGCCACGTTTGTTTCCAATTATTCTAAAACATTGTTTGCTACAATAAGACTTTTCACAACACATTAACCCAATAAAATATTCTACACACAAACTAATAAGGTTAATTTAAATTTCAATCACACATTCTCTAAAAAAATAATATTCATTACTCTATTTTTTTACAATAAAGGAAGACAAACATACATTAAATGTCATCCAAAATGTAAATATTGAATGTGTAAGTAGATTAATCATATATATGAGAGTAATACTATTTAACACCATTGATATTTAACGTCATTATAGATGACAATATTAATGACATTAAATTATAGGTTCATTGGATAAATCACGTAAATGCACATTTAATTGAACTCACATATTGTCACATAAATTGATATTCTAGCACCACTGATACTAAATAATATTAGGAATATGCTATTGATACATAAAAGTACACATATCATTTGACATAATTGACAAATTGCGACCCCCTATTAAGAGCCCCCAGCCCATAGCATTACTCATAACATTATAATTTTTGGATAATTCTACTTGTATATTATGCCATCCATAATGGATGACATAATGTACAAGTGGAATTATCCTATTGGAGGGTGTGTCGGTGGGCCAGCACACCCACCAATAATGTACTGCCACTTGTACATTATGTCATCCATTATGGATGCCATAATGTACAAGTAACACAACTCAACATTATTCTATATGTGAATGTGAAGCATGCTAGACGTACAACCTAGTTTACAACTTGATTTACAATCAATGAGTTGGAAGACATCCACATTATACATTTCAAAAACTTTTTTTTTAATCAATGGTGTGGATCCCCACACTTCATTAGTTGCTACAACTTGGTTGTACACCTAGAATAATTTATGTGAATATAGTTTGGTATCCTTAATGTGATATAAAAAATGCTTATAATGTTTTACATAATGATGAGATGTCAAAATATAAGTGAAAAAATTATTTGATTGATAAGATTTTGATTTAATTAAATTACGTCACATCATTTATTGGTAAACCATTATGTAAATTGTTATATATATGTATAGCACAACCCATGTGACATTTCATCTTATCTTGTTTTCATATTTTTATTTGGACTAGGAGATTGCCGTCTTTGTAGAAATGAAAGGATTGAATTTAACCGCAATAAAGCAATAGAACACATGAAACCTACTAAATGAGTATGTTATACTAAGGATGAGAAGTGAGATGAGGGGAGCGTCCCACTAAATGAGTATGTTATACTCGGCTGTTGGTGCTCGTCCACTTCTTGCCCCCACCTCATATTGCAAAAGATGACAAATAAAAATTTTCAACGTTTCTTTTCAATCTAATTCAATTGTACAAAACATACTATATTGACATATTTGGGAAGAAGAATTGAATAACATAAGACAGTTTAGATAAGAAAAAGGAAGTTGCAATTATTTCAATAACTACTGCCCAATTTAGTCTAGTACTCATGCCCAACACACGCTAAGAATTTAATTATTGTGACTAAAAGAAAACCAAGCAAGACTGCGTTGGTCTCGGAACAAATCAATTTGAGCAAAAAGCAGAGAACAAAATTTTAGGGTTTTGATTGTGTCCAATTCCCACTTCTTTGAGAGAATGATTGCTAATTAAGAAGGAATGGCCCCTCAAACCTTTTGTTTAGGGAGGGAAGTATGGCGCAAGTCACCCATTCTTATGTTAGGTGAAAAAAGAAGGGCTATGGGACGGTGAATGGTCCCTTTTCTTGGTCATAATCTTCTCCTTTTTCATCTTAGTTACACGTATTTTAACGTTTGTCTAAGCTTTAAAGTAACTTAAATTGACTTTTTAAGTAAATTTTAATGATAAACATATTTCAATACTAGTCGTTGACACGTGCGTTGCACGAATTTTGTATTTGTTGTATTTTTATTAGGATAGAAATTGTTAATACTAAAAAAAAAAAAGTAGTTTAATATTTATTAGATTATTCAAGAGTTTTGAGCATATTATTGCTTCGCTACTTCTCCATCTAACAAGGTGATTATTTCAAAAGTTGATTTTACTGCAGAGAAACTCACCAAAAAAAAAAATTGAAAACATTACGTCTATGTAGATGATAATAGAAACATTTGACATACACAAATATTGCAAATATACAGGAATAAGAAATATTTAATTAAATCTACTGTAAATACCAAATAACGTTGAAATAAAAGAAAAACAACGATATCAATAAAATCCAATTCCCCAACATAAATACATGGAAAAAGGAATAAAAAACTGAAAATAAAAAATTATACAGTTAAATATTAGAAAATGAAGCAAAAGAAGAGCACACAATATAGAATGAACAAAAACAACTTATGCGAACTAAGCTTTAGCGCATTAGAAAAAATAATTTACTAACCTGTTATCATTCTCTATCACATTTTGTGACTCAAGCAGTTTAGTTTCTGCCATAATAGTCAACCCTGTATATAAATTGACAAGATTAGAAATTATACACATTATGAAAATAAAAATGAAAACCTTTGAAGAAAGTATATTTTTAGCAAATTCGTCGAATATTTCAGACTATATTCCACTTTTTTGGTATCTACAAAATCAGCCTTCTTGCTCTTAAATATTAATTCAGCAGATTAAGCAGCAATTTTAGCCTGCAACTGAAAACCGCTCCTTTTCTAGAATGAGAAGACACATGTGATTAATGATCATATGGCTACAAAGTAAGAATATCAACTTATAACTAAATTAGAATTTAAACAACAAATATGTAAAACATAAATAAAATTAATAGTTTTGAAAGTTGTAATTAATAAAAAGTTGTTAACAATTTCTTTTGCTAAGCTCAACTATAAGTAAATTATTAACTTTTTGAACGATATGCTAGAAAAATAGCATATCTAAGCTTATTTAGCACAAAAAACTTTTTAAACCTTAGCTAAACATGCTTTCAATTAGTAAGCAGAAAATGAAATATTATAGTAAACAGTAAATAGTTTAAATACTCACCTATTATTTGCACAAGTGAATGTGTACTTGTACTTTCTTCTTTTATGCTTCTTTGCAACATCATCTTGCGAGTACATTTGTTTTCAAAGCCGAAATCTAGAATTGCATATTTCTTTGAAATACGGGTGCATCCGTCCTTGATAAGCCGTCTCAATAGTTTTAACTTCAGGTCAAGATTTTAATAGAATAAATTTAGTAGAAAACTATTAGTTTATATATTTTTTCATAATTTTTTTATTTGTTTATTGTTGTTATGCAAATGGCTTGTCGCTTCGAAACGAGAATCGACCTACCCAATCAGGTTACAGGAGTCGAAGGGACAGCGAGGGCTCGGGGGCAAAGCCCCCCGAAAGGCGGGGGTCGAGGGGACAGTGCCCCTCGTGGAGGTTTTTAGGGCCAATGCCCCTGACGGGGATGTCTCCACATCTCCGCGCAAGGGGGACATGCCTCCGATCTCACATGCGGAGATATGGTGCGCGGAGAAATTTTTTTTTTTAATTAATTATGAGCGCGCTAATAATTAAGATTTTTCAATTCATCATGTTAGCATCTCCGATCTCACATGTGATCAATCATTTTCTTTTGGTTATATTGTAGTGATTCTTTTTTATTATCCACCTTGTGTTTCAATGCCAATTTTTCTTTTCCGTTTAGAAGTATGTTTCACAATCTTTTTTTGCATCTCTGCATGTTGATTTGCTGCTTCAACCTTTTCAACATTCCTCGACAGACTTGATTTGTTCGTAGAATTACCTAAAGTTGGTCTATTTTCTGAAGCGAACTTAAACATGGAACTATATGGCTTTGTTTCTCATATAATCAAATTTCTCTGTTTTGCATCTTTGACAAGAGATGTTCTTGAATTACCCAAAATCCATAAAGAAAGTTTGGTCAGAAACATTCATCCATCTAACATCAGCAACAAATCCAAGATTGCTAGAGTTAATCCTGGGTGCTTCAGATCTAGCTGCTCTAACTGTTGAAAGCAACACGATATCAACTTCCTAGCCTTGAAAGCCATCGACTGTATTAAATTCCATTTCAGCAGTAATAGCATATCCAAATGCACCAGAAAAGTAGATTGGGGAAAAAAGATGTGATATAAAACTGGAGGACTGGAGGTGTGAAGATCTGGAAAATAAATAGTAACATCTCATTGGTTACTTACTATTGCATCTACAATAAAACCCAAAACTGTCTTTTTTATTATAGTAGGACACATCGGCGTCAGAAAAGCGTATGTACTAGAAAACATTAATAGAAGGAAATTAGTTGTTATTCACTCTGTGTTACAAATAACATTTCCTTTCAGTCTGTCTTGTGAGAAAAGAAAAGGCATAACAAGTTCAATTTATTCAATGTATCAAAGTAACCAGAAACAAGAGTGAGAAATAGTGAACTTGCAATTGTTAGAGGGTGAAAAGTTAGAGAGAAAGATCAGCCAGGTCAAAAGTTCTTTCAACGGCTTTGCACCAGGACGCCACTCTCTTCTCCCTGAGTTCTTCGGCTAAAATGGGATGAAAAGTTTTCGCTTTTTTCATCTTTTCGCCTGAACAAAATATCTCATTTTCTGTCCAAATGCCGACTGCTAATCCAGCAGCATAGGCAGCTCCAAGGGCTGTTGTCTCTATATCAGCTGGTCGTATTACCGGGGTACCTAAAATGTCTGCCTGCAAATCAAGAAAATCCTGATCTCACACAAGTATGCGAATCCAATAGAAATGGTATGATAAATTCAATATCCAATTGTTGAAAGAATAATTTTTTTGTGGAAAAAAAAAAAATCAAAACATTGAGCACTCGATATTCTTATTATTCCTTTTTTGATAAAAATAAAAATACTATTATAATAGGACAAGGTGTTCTCAAAACTAGAAACAGAAAAGGCAAAAACATATCCAGAACTCAGAGCAGCACCTGAATCACAGTGGATTAGTGTAAAATGATTCTCATTGATGTGGAATATGTTGTTGAAAAAGAAAGAAAAATTATTGATGTTATGAAAAATATTATTTTATTGAAAAATGTGTGATTGAAAATGAGTAGAAAAATGAGAATGAAAAAAATAATGTGGACCAAACAGGGTCTTAATATATATATATTGGAATTTGAGCAGTTATCCGTTATAAATGGTGGTTGGTGGTGTTGGCTTGTACCCAGATCATGGCGGGATATTTCAGATTTAGAGACCCTCCGAGAGGATTGATTTTTGCTCGTGATTGCATGTTTGTGATAGTGGAGACCTTCATGGAAATTCAATCGAAAATACCGTGACTCGATCATCAATTTTGGTCTAGATCACTCTACTAGATAGAATACATGATCGACCCGGTAAAAAACACTGAGAAACCTCTATGCTTTCATAAAAAAACCACTGAGCAAAAATCCATTAACTTGGTGAGTCGTTGCTAAAATTTCAAGTTTTTTTTAGGATTTGATTAGTCGCTGCTTTAGACTTCAGTTTTCAATTTTTTAATACACACACACACATATTCATTGATTTTTTGCTTTTTGAATTTCACCACTTCTCCTAGACGACTCAAACCATATCACTAACGTTGCAAGGCTTTGCTCTAAGTGAGATAGGCCCTTGTCTCGTTTATTTCATTATTAATCGTTTCTTCTAACAAGATTTTTTACTTTATATATCTTAATCCCTTGTTTGGTGAGGACTAAAATTAGATTCTCAAGATTCCAACAACTCGGAGAAGAAAAAGGAAAGGAAAAAAAATGCCTTGGTGGAAAACACTATGACTACCATCAGATTCTGAAGATTCAAACAAACCAGCCATGGTAGCAACCGGCTAAAGATCATCTAAAATCTAAGTATTTTTTTGATTTTCTATGACTTATCTGTCGTCTTACAAAATAATTGATAAAGTACTGCTTTATTAAAGTAGATTTCACTTTATTAAAAGTTGTATGTCTACTTGTGTAATAATTGTACTCAAGTCTTGTATGCTTTTAAAAGCTTTTTGTTTGTTTATTGTACTAGTTTATGTTATTATGTCGGTCGGTCTAAAATTGAGGGGACTCTCTCTATAAAAGGATCTCTCCTCATTCATTCTAGAATAATCGAAAAATCAGAAATAAAATCTCGAGTTCCTTAAGATCGTGAGTTTCTAAAATCTTTTATGTTTCTCACTGGAATCCAGAATACTAATACTAGTATTAAACAGTCATGATAAGCCAACATTTTGAGCAATAACAAAAGTATGCTTTGTTATTGCCTCCCTCGAGAATCCTAAGCATAAAAAATTGTTTATGCAGACTAAACGATTCACCAGGGAGAGTTGCAATTCTAGGAGTCAGCTCTGTATTTGTATGCCTTAAATTTGGCTATTGTTTGTGGAGTAGAATACTTGGGTTGCTCTTCTCTCTAGTTGGTATCAGAGCCATTTTCTTCCGTTGGATTTCATGCACTATTAAAACGAAGTATTATTATGATGGTACCGGTGAGAAAATGTCTTACCTAATGACTTTTGGAAATCCTTCACAACATCCTATTACTATTCCTACTCCATCTCGCCTTCCTATACTATCCCCCTCTCTTCATCTTCCTTTAGGAGGTCCACCTTTTTAAGATGGATTATCTTTATGAGATATCCTACCTAAATGAATCACATAAAATAATGCAGTTTTTTGAAACACTAGGATTACATGGACATTAACAGATGAAGTTCTAAAATCTTTGGATTTTAAATAAAAAGTTCAATTTTTTTCTCTCCAGTGAGAGAAAGGATAAATCTATTCAAAAAATCTTACAACTTCATTGTTTGAGTGAGAATTGAATTATGGATAATCCTTCCAATGTTTTGAAGTTCTTTTTGAAAGCCATGAAACCATGATATCACCATTAAAACATATTGTAATTTGATGCAACTCAAGAAGATACTATAGAAAACACAAAAGTTTTTTTGAAAATTTTTCTTGAATAATAAAAATGATTTAAAATGGATATTCTGGATGAAAGCCAGGTTCATCAAGAAAATAGATCCTATTTTTTCTAATAAACTATGGACTAATATTTTAGCACGAGTTCCTTCGATCTTGAGTGGATAGTTCGATTTCTAATGAGAATTTGAAGTTTAGAAGGGAAGTTTTGAATAGGAAGATGTTGTGAAGATGAGTTCATCATACAGATGGTAATGATTTGTGATTGGATAGAAAGTTCTGTTCTATAGAGTAAATCAGTTAAGAGATTGTGTTTGTCTTTAATGTGTTTGACCTCAAAGTTAAAGTTGGAAAACCATTCCGTCAATCTCAAAAGTTGTGAGTTTGGAATCTACTTCTTTTTTAATTTCAACATTTCGGAAAATACCTTCTTGTCCATTTCTACCAGAAATTTGTGACAAATAAGGTGAAACTAAAATATTTCAGTTCCTCGTTTTATTGTAAGAACATCTTTGAATGTAAAATGATAATATTTTTCAGATTCTTTGAACATACCACTCTTGTAGTCACATTTTTTTTCTCCCATCCTTTTCTTCTAGAAGCACTGCTCTCCTGTACAGATCTCTTGCATCTGTTCGTAAAATTTTCTTTCAATTAGGGGGAATTTTTAGTGTTGGAAGGCTGTGAACCTCTTGTTTGATTCTTTTGTTGGCTTGAGTTTGCTTGGATGACCGTTACGGAGGATTTTTCTTAAGCATTTCATGTAAAGGTTGTACAAAATGGGCCAGCTGTTTGGAAAAGCGAGTCATATAGTTTACTACGCCAAGAAATTGTTGAACTCGTCAGGAAATTTGACAAATCTTGAGTCCAATGTTACAATTATCAAAAATTTTGATATTACGCTTGCTAATGTATAGCTGCTAACAAAGTTGAAGAAGAAGCACATTTTGTAGAAAATGAGAAGAACACGACTCCATTTCGTTATTAGCATACAAAGGAGAAGTAGGAATGAAAGTCAACACTTGGTACTTCAATATTGGTGCTTGCAATCGCATATGTGGAAACAAAAATATGTACATGGAACTTGATGAATCAGTGAGTGGGAACACAACATTTGGAGATGAATCCAAAATTCCGGTAAGAGACAAAGGTGATATCCTTGTACGCTTGAAAAAGGGAAATCATCAATTTATTTCAATTGTTTATCACGTGTCTAACATGAAAAATAATATTTTGAGCTTGAGTCAACTTCTAGAAAAGGACTATGACATTTATATGAAAGAAAGAAGTCTTCCACTAAGAGATTGCAACAGTAATTTGATTGCTAAAATACCAATGACAAACAATATAATATTTTTATTGAACATTCAAAATGATGCTGCAAAATGTTTGAAAGCTTGCGTAGAAGATACATCATGGCTATGGCATCTAAGGTTAGGGCATCTCAATTTTGGTGATTTAGGGTTGCTACCTAAAAAGTGAATGGTGAAAATATTGCCATTCATCAATCCTCGAATCAATTTTACGATGGATGTCTACTTGGGAGGCATTTTCGAAAAAGCTTTCCAAAAGGAGAAAGCACGAGAGCAAAGAAGCAACTACTACTCATTCACATTGATGTATGCGGGCCAGTTCATCCTAACTCCATCAATAAGAACAATTTTTTTTCCCCTATTTATTGATGATTTTAGTTGAAAAATATGGGTTTATTTTCTAAAAAAAAAAAATTCAAGGTGTTTGGTGTTTTCTAGAAATTTAAAGCTCTTGTCAAAAAGTTGAGTAGTGTCAAAATAAAAGTGAGATCCGACCGAGGAGGAGAATTTATATAAAGAGAATTTGACAAATTTTGTGAAGATAATGAAATTCGTGGGCCTCTAATGGTTCGAAGATCCCCTTAACAAAAGGAAATTGCCAAAAGGAAAAATCGAATCATTCTCAACATGGTCTATAGCATGCTAAGAAGCAAAAGTTGCTAAAAGAATATTGGGTCGTGGTGGTAGATTGTGCAGTTTCTTTACTCAACCGATCTCCAACTAGAAGAGTTTTGGGGAATGACACCTCAGAAAGTATGGAGTGGAAGAAAGCCCGGCATCTCACACGTGAAATTCTTTGGAAGCATTACATATGTTCAAGTGCCCAACCAATGAAGATTCAAGCTCGATGACAAAAGCAAGAAATTTCTCTTAATTGGCTATCATTCAAGATCTAAAGGATAGAAGCTCTATAATCCAACTACCAAAAAGGTCAACATTTTTCGAGATGTTGAATTCAATGAAAAAGATTTGTGGAGGTGGGACACTCAGGAAGATAACTATAATTTTCCTCCAGTTATCGAAGAAAAACAAGAAAGGATAGTGCAAGGAAGAGATCAAGAAATGCAAAAGCATACAACTCCACCTTATTCATCACAAGCAAGCCCTCATGGACACTTACCAAGTGGATGTTCTAGATCAATCACACCATCAAGGAGACAACGGACAAGGAGCATACAAAGAACCATATGAGGTAAGTCAGGTAACTGAAAATCAAAATGAACTAACACTTTTTTTGTCTTCGTACAGATTGTGAGCCAATAGATTTTGAATAAGTGGTGCAAAGCAATAAATGGCGAGAAGCCATGGATGAAAAAAAAAAATATTGAAGAATAACATATGGGAGCTAGCAACACTTTCGGAAGGTTAAAAGATAATTGGAGTAAAATGGGTGTACAAAGGAAAGAAGAATGCTAAAGAAGATGTTGGAAGACATGACGGAAGATTGGTTGCAAAATGATGCAATTAAGATCCGGCATTGACAACAAATCGGCAACTGAACTAGCGAAGACTGTTGTGTTCCATGATTGAAGCAAACACATTGATACAATATATCACTTCATAAAAGAAATCATAGCAAGAAAGGAAGTAAAGTTGAAGTATGTAAAGACTCAGATCAAGTAGTTGATACCGTTTACCAAACCATTGAAGCATGAAGTCTTTTCCAACCTAAAAGATGTACTTGGAGTGAGCAAATCAAGTTTAAGAGGGCCTGTTGAAAAATAAACTTGATTTGGGTCATTTTAATATTTTGATTTTGGGGTTGTTAATTATTGTAGTTGAGTGAGTCCATAAGCTCATATCTAGAATAGTCCATATCTAGAATAAGTCACGTATCCGCTATCTAAAATTATCTTGTATAGAGAGTATTTAGTAAATGTTACTAAGTAGTTGAAAGATACATTTATTTTGGTAGTTGAGTGGAATGTAGAAGAGTCCATTGAGCACTATAAATAGAGGTGCTCACTCGTCATTTATAATAAGCTAACAAACCAATTTAGAGATAATAAAATACAAGTTCCTTCTCCAGCCTCTTCAACATCCAAAAGATTCTCGTAAAGTTCTATCCAAATAAGTCTTCTTCCTAACAAAATAGATATAAAGAAGCTAACAATTAACAAATCAACTAATTTCAAAATACTCAGCCTAGAAGAAACTACATTTCCATTTCATATTTGGTGTGGTTGGCCTAGCTCTTAAATTAAATTGACAAAATTTCATTGAGAAATCTTCTTAAACACATCTATTCGTTTCACTGATATTTAGTTTCGAAATGAGGCAGTGATAGTTTCAGCTAATGAAAATGCCGGCGATGGTGATCAGGCAAAGCATACATAGGTATGGTGATGATGCCAGCGATGGTGGTCAGGCAATCAGCAGACATGCGACAAGCATACATGGTAATGGAGACAGTGATGGTGATGTTGATGATGCAACTAAGTTGGTCGTCGGTAGTGTTTGCGGTGGAGATGACATGTTTCAAATCTGATTTTAGATATGAAATCAAACAAAAAATCTAAACAGATTTGAAAAGCTGGCAACAATCGATAGAAGAAAGAGATTTGTTTTCGAAAGGTTGAGAGAACTAAGAGAATTAACGTTAATGTTCTGCATTTTGTGAAATTTACTTAGTATAATTTTCACAAAGGAAAAAGGTGTATTTAACATTTTTTTTAAGATAAAAAGGGTAATCGTATAATTTCCCCTTCACCTTAACCAAATTAACGAATTAATCGATTGGGCCGCAAACAAATTCAGCTTCAGTTAGATTGTCGTTCAATGAGAAACTACAACGCAACATGGAGTAATTTAAAGGCAATTTGACTGGGAAAAATAAGCAATTTATAGTCGAACACGTTATATATTACAACACCTATAAACTGAACGTGGAAAAGAAAAAGAAATTTATAGTCAGACTTGTTTCAAAGGAATATTTATTTTTGGAGAATGTGTCGCTAAAAAATAGAAAAAAAAAATTATTGAGAGAATGTTTGGTTGATAATGAGAGAAAAAAAAAAGAATTTTTAGATAATGAGACTCAACCAATTAACTTAAAAGTTCACTCAACTGGACAACGCTTGTATGGTCATGAGCTTATGTATGCATAAATCATTTTTCAAACTATCTACTTATTTAAGATATAATCATAACAAAAAAAAGTTACTTGCACCTATATAAGAAAATTCAAAGATCCTGAAACACGAAATTTTGTGACAATGTGTTAGTGGTATATCTCAAACAACATTTATTGTATATTGATAATTCATACCGTGATTAAAAATTAAATTAAGAAACTTTTGATCATCATCGCTCGCCAAATCAATATCCATTTAGAATGAGCATCTATGTGGTGATATATTTTAGAGGTATCAATAATATTAAAATCAAATTTTAATTTATATCAATCAGGTGTAGAGTCCGCACCACAAGTGAATCCAAAATATATGAAATGTACTTAGTGCCTCTCTGGTTGCAATTAAAGCGTTAATTTCGACTGTTGCCAAGGAAAAATTTTATTGTTGCAATTAAACATTTTCCATAATCATCTGACGCCATAGCCGCAATATTGGACCATTGCATGACGTAATGACCTTTTTGCCCTTCATATTATTCATTATCTTAAGGGATGTGGGCTTCTTCGGTAATTTCATTTTCCAATGGTCCAATATTGCGGCTATGGGACTGACTTTTTGCCTCCAGCAACAGTCACAATTTTGCTTAAAACTAGTTTTAACCCGTGCAAATGCATGGGTTTTTGTTATTTTTAAGGTTATGTTAACGTTTTACATAAATTTAATGAAAACATATTTATTTTGTATATAAATTTAAACAATGTTTGGGAATCACAAATTGACGCGAGAATGAATAATAACAGTGAAAAATAAATTAACAAGAAAAAATGACAACATGAATCCACTACATTTTTCACTCTCTAGATCAAAATGTGAATATTATTCTTATGTAATTTTATTCTTCAAAATTACAATTATCAACTTATATGTTTGAAGATAAAT